GAGACAGAATATTTTTCTGAACTCAAAAAATACTTATAAAAATATTTATATGTTGTACAGTGACAATTTCTCACATTAAATCGTTTTCTTTTTCATAATGTATGCATAGAAAGTTATTGAAAGTAAAATAATAATAATCGGTCTGCCGTCTGGTACTATCATATGCGTTTTTTTTTTTTGCCCGGTCAAACATCTTTGTATTTCTTTATTTTTCATGTGTATATTTTCTTTTCATTAATTAATTTATGAAAAATTGTAAAAAAGGACCTAATCACTAAATTAATTAATTGTCAAATCCAGAATCTCCAATTTTTTTCAATCTACATTTTTTTACCAAATTACACACAACTCTCCTAAAATTTAAATCATACATGAATAACCCTCTTAATATTTGAAACTTAATAATAAACTTCCTTTAGTTTTCAGGTCTATGCAAATAATCCCTAAACATTAATTATATACTTTTTTAAATTTTATTTTTTGTGCATTTAAGCCCCATAAACTTTGATTGATATACAAATAACTCCTTAAATTTTAAATTATATGTAAATAATTAATATATAAAATTAATCATGTAAAGTTATTTGCATACATATAAGAGTTAGGGGATTCAATATAAATTTTTAAATGTTAATGAGGTTATATGTACATGGTTCAAAGTTCAGGGACGTATGTATAATTTAGTCTTTTTATTTTTATGGTTTTGCAATTTTTTTCTTCCAAGTTTTACAAGTAAGTCCTTTTCTCCAATTAATTTGCTTATAGGTCATCTACTCTTTTCTCTAATTTTCCTTCAATTGTATTAACATTGAATAGTTTAAAGAGAGAATGGCAATTTAAGAGCTCATAAAAAGTAATGTTGAAGAAGGGTATCATCATAATTTAAATTTTAAAATTTAATAATTATCCTCTCTATCATTGATAATCTTTCGAAAATCCCGATTTAATTAATTGTCATCTCTAGTTTTTAAAAGTTCCTATAGCGGCTTCATTTTTTTTTTTTTTTTGCATTTCGTTTTAGCCAAACTTGTAAAGGTAAACTAAAAGACTTTTGTACAAGGTTAGAAGGTACATTTTACATTCTCTCAAAGGTATATAATGCTCTCACTTCTATTGCACCCATAAGGACACGTATCATTTTGTGTGAGGCATCTTCTAATCATATAAGAGTTAGTTAAAACACCACTAAAAAAAAAACAGCGTTATATAGCAATCTTTTTGCCTCATATATAGCAGTTCTTAATTGTTATATAGTTTGACTTTATGTAACGTTATTTTTAAATAACTGTTATATATTTTTGTTCCAATTACAAGAAATCCAACAATTCAATAAACTATAATGGTTTTCTTAAATAATTTCTGGAATGAATGATTATTTTTTTTAGTAGAGAAATTCTACCTTGCCTAACTTGCCAAAGAATTTTTTTTTTTCCGGGAATCTTTCACTTCCACAGTTTACTCCAGAAAATATTAGATGAAACATGACTTTGATTTATCTTTTTCATCAAAAGTTCCAAACTCGTAGATAAGGGCAGAGTGTGATGTGCATGAGAGTTTCTCTCTCTCCGATCTCAATGCGATCTGGCTTTTCTGATCTCAATCCAGTTAGGTGTGTGGTGCACAGATTTGGGGACGAGAGTCAGATCTCCTGTTGGTAGTACAGAAGTAAATCATGAGCTACTTAATTCAAAAAATATTGTCCTTAAAATAATTTTGGCACACCAGAATAACAAACCGATAGTTTTTCAACATTAAACAAGCACTTCCTATAAGAGCAAGGCACCAAAACAGCATAACTAAAAATAAACTCAGATGAACAACACAATAAAGTTGGAGGGAGGAGAGAAATGCTCCGAAAACTCCAGAGGCTGGCACTGATCCTATGTACACCCATGACTGTATATAGGCCGAAGGTAAACGTTGGGCTCATAATTTTGGAATTAAATCCCATTAAGCATCGGTTACACCGACATAATCTGGAACCATTGGTAGACAAAGATAATCTAATGAAAGGAACTCAGTGCATCTTGAACTCACGTACAAGGGGACGAATCGATTGATTTCAACTACAATTATCCTAATTTGACCTGTCTTATGGACATAAACTCACTTCTCTTCCAAACTCATTTTATTAACTTACTTCATTTCTTAATATTTATATACTATGAGAGTTATTCATTTAGATAACATGGGACTTTTAAAATACACACTTTGACACACACAACATCTCCAAACTCGCAAAAGTTTTACAAGTCGAAGACGTTCAAGGCTACACCAAACAACTTCAGGTTTGAGTCCTTCTGATTATTACCCAGTGAGATCTTTTTCTTGTTGCTTCTGGAATCTTCTTCTGGATGAATAAGAACGAGCCGGTTCAGTGCTAAATGATTTGCAGCATTTGTTTTTTGAAGTTTGATCTTCGATTTATAGGTTGCCGACTATTGATTGTGGATTTGGGTTGTTGAATATTTCGATTATTGCTTTTGTATTTCTCATCGAAGACGTGCGTGCACTGGATTGTGTGTGATATTTTGGTTTTATGTTTTGGGTTCTGTACAATCTTGCAGCTTCGTTAATCTAGGGCCTGTGATAATTGGGTTTGACGTTGAGCTTCCGGGTCGGTGATTTATTTATTGTTGCAGGCCATTAATTATTTGTGAGTACATGGTGGGTTCTTTGATATTTGGCCTGGAATTTTCTAGCATAGTTTGACTTATTCTCAATGTCTGGTGAACTGTCATCATCGGCGTCAGTGGAGAAGATTATCAGGGATTTAAATTTAATAATTATATTTAATACAGATATTAAACACCTATATAATTTGAATTTTTAAAATTTAAATCAATAATTATAAATTTATATTTTATTTAAAATTAATAAATAAATAAATTTACTTGAACTATTGAATTTAATTTTAACAGCTTAAACAATACAAATTTAATATTTGTATTAAGTATAATTACTCAAATTTGATTGTCGGCGGGACTGTGAATGATTGAGGAGGAGGATGACGCAATAGAGATGGTCTAAGAAGGTAGGGGCCCACTTGTATTTAATGTTATTATTACTACACCATGCCTAAGTTTTAATCTAGAGAGTGAATATAAAAATGATATGGATAACTTATGTACATGTACATGCCAATTGACCGTTAAATGTTGGGTAAGTTTCGTCCCATTATGAAATTGTATCATGAAGTCATTATTGACTTTTAAAAAATTAATTTTTAATTTTTAAATTTTAAAAATTTATTAATTTTATAATTTTATTGTGATGAATTTATAATTTTTTTAAATTTTAACTTAATTAAAAAATAAATATTTTTTATTAAAATTTAAAAGTTAAAATTAAAATTTTTATAATTTAAAATGTAAAATTTAAGTTGAATTAATTAATTGGTGGGGACTCTATGTCATTCTCCCTCCAACTAAATTAATGAAAAACGACAAGACGTGGCCCGTGGGTCGGTCAAATAAAGAGCTGTTTCATGCATTAGAGCACGTGCATGGCCATTGGGATAGATTTTGATCTTCATGAAACGGGCACGGTTCTGCATTGATTTTCATTTCTGGGAGAATTGCATATAGGCCTATCAAGGAATATAATTTCTCTACAAATCTATTAGATTCTGATAATCTTTTGCAGGCCCAAATAACTCAACTATAATTGTTTTTTAACATAAAAAAACCAAACTATTTTTAAGTGAGAGCATATGTGCTGACATAGATTTTGCCCAAAATATCAAAGTATATTGCAACTATACGCTTACTCATTTTTTATTGTTGTGAAAGAAATTACAAAAATTTTGGTCAAATCGCGACAGTGGTCTTAGAATTATAACGATAAAGGAGAGAACTTATTTGATATTTTAAATAAGAGTATTCAGCTTGTATCTGTTTTGATTGGCCTTATATCATTTCAATCATATCAAAACAAATTTTGTTTCAACTCAAAAATAATTAGGACAGGACTTTACGGGACGAGACATGGAATTATCAAATGAACGTCCTATCCGATCCCAAATATTATATATATTATTTTTTATTTTAAGTATATTAATTATATTAATATAATTTATACTTATATTAATTATATCAATTATAATGTCAAAACTAAACCTATTTAATTTCATTACTTATGAGAGAATTTGATGCAAATTAAATTTAAAATCTTTCCATCTAAGTGGGGATAAAATTAAAATTTTTTTATTTTCAGGCAATGTTAATAATTTTATCTAGAGAGGCAGTTAAAGGTATATTATATTCCTTCCATTTTAAATTATAAGACACTTTTAGATGAAATTTTATATACCAATAAACTTCATTATATACACTTAACAACCTTATCTTTCCAAAACAATAATATGAACTTTCAAAAATACCTATCATTTAATATATTAAAAAAAAGGAACAAACATTAATTATAAAAAGAGAAAGGGTAATATTAAAATTAATACATTTAATGAAATCTTAATCAAATTAAAGTGTCTTACATTTTGAAATGAAAAAATACTTTTAAAAATATCTCATAATTTAAGATGGAGGGAGTAATATGGATGAGAGGAAATACTTATTAAAAATGTTCAGATTAAATATTTGACATATGGCTTATTAATGATTCTAATTAATGGGGTATAATGGAAATAATATAATAAATACATTAACCAGCGATCCATTAATGTTTCTCTGATTGGTGCAGAGAATTTTTTTTAAATTTTTTATTTTGCTTATAAAAAAGTGTAAAAATAAGTGTTAGTTCCCCATATTTTACGTAGTTTTTAATTTTGCCCCCCATGCTTCGGTTCCTGGATTCATTTCTGCAACACGGTCTTATGATGGCTGTTAAAATTACAAATTCTTTTGACATTTACCTTTATTTAATACAATATCTCAATTTATCAATAATACCCTAATTAAGAGCAATTGAATTAATATTAATTAATTAACAGGATGCTTATATATATTAGACCACTTCATTGAAAGTTCAAGGCCTATAATCGCTCCACTGCAAATACACTTACTATCGATCACCTTCTTCATCTCTTTCATGGATCCTCCAAGGAAGCTCGTTGACCAAGTCGGCTGTTGGCTCAGACTCTATGACGACTGCTCAGTGGATCGCACCTGGACCGGCCCTCCTAACTTTAAATTACTCACCGAACCGGTTCCTCCTCACCCTGAATTCCTCGACGGAGTTGCCACCCAAGACGTCGTCATCGACAGCGTTTCAGGCCAACGTGTCCGGATTTACCTCCGGGAGACAAAATCCCATGATAAGCTTCCGATTCTCCTCCATTTTCATGGTGGTGGGTTTTGTATATCCCAAGCCGACTGGTTCATGTACCACCAGTTCTACAGCCGGCTCACCGGAACGGCCCGGGTCATTTGCGTATCTGTCTATCTCCGCCTGGCCCCAGAGAACCGGCTCCCGGCAGCCATTGATGACGCTTTCTCCGGTCTTATCTGGCTCCAATCGGTGGCAAAGCGCGAGAAGAACCCGCCCGAATGCCTTGTTTCTGCCGACTTCAACCGTATTTTTCTTATCGGTGACAGCACTGGTGGGAACCTAGTTCATGAGGTGGCCGTGCGAGCCGGGAAGCATGACCTGACGCCGCTGAGAGTTGCCGGAGGGATAGAGGTGCATCCTGGATTTGTCCGGTCTAGGCGGAGCAAGTCGGAGTTAGAGAATCCCCAGTCGCCGATCCTCTCGTTAGACATGATCGACAAGATGTTGATCTTGGGGTTGCCGGTTGGCAGCAACAAGGACCACCCGATAACTTGTCCTATGGGGGAGGCGGCGCCGTCGCTGAAGGACGTGGAAGTCCCGCCGTTGCTGGTGTGCTTGGCGGAGAAGGACTTGATGGTGGATACGGAGATGGAGTACTGTGAAGCGATGAAGAAGGCGAAGAAGGAAGTGGAAGTGTTTGTGAGCAAAGATATGGGACATGCGTTTTATCTGAACTCAGTTGCGGTGGAGACAGACGCCGATACGGCGGAGCAAACGGAGTGCCTCATCGGCAAGATCAAAGAGTTCATTGATAGCCACTGAAAAGTGAAAGCCGGTTTCATGATCAGTGCTCGTTGGCTACCACTTTCATCAGGTACTTTTTCCTTTTTTTTTTTGGGTCAAAATCCTATTTTTAACTTTTCATTTTTTTCAAGATAAGTAGTGTAACAATAAATTTAAATAATAATGTATGTGCTTTTTTCTTATTTATTTTTTTAAAAAATATTTGGATCGTAAACTTGTAACCATGGATTTTTAAGGTTTTTAGTACAAGATGGAATAATAATCAATGATTTAATGTTAAATATAAAGTCAAATTAACGAAAAAGGAAATAAGAATATCACTAAGTTAGAAGAATGCCCTAATCATTGATCTCGGATTCATCCCACACAAACCTTTTTTAACCAGAGAAAAAATTAAAAGGGAATAAGAATAATAGCTAAAAAAATATTTCATTTAAAGTGCCTAACTTATAAATTATAATTTTAGTTTTAATAATTTTTTATTTAAAAATTTTGATGACCAGAATTTACATTCAAAGATGTTAAAATTATCCTTATCCATGCCAATATCAAATTTTATTCAGGAATTTTATCCCATGCAAGTCTTCCACTAAGCCCAAAAAGTTTATTCCAAGGAGAATTTCAACTAAAAATAAAATATATGACTTAATTGTTAATAAATCTAAAAAAAATTTAAAATTTCAATTCAATCTAAGAGAATTAAAATAAAATTAATTTTACAGTGCAGTAAAAGATTAAAATATTTTTTATTTATTAATTTTTTTCAAGATGCATAATCCTTAATTATTAATTTTTTTATTTCATCATAAATTAAATTAGTTTGTTAGATTAGTAGCAACATCATTTATTAATATGTTAAATTTTTTTATAAATTTAGTATAGGCAATAAAAAATTAACAACTAATGATTTTATATCTTGAAAAAAAAAAGTGGGAGGTGTTTAAATTTTTTTCTGTTAAAATTACTTATTCTTCAATCTTTTTAAATTAAATTGAAATTTTAAATTTTTTAGGCTTATTAATAATTAAGTCATACCACCGATCCTCAATTGAAATTCTCAATCTCTTCTACTACCTTCCATGTAGCTGTCACGTACGACCATCGCTTCTTGACGCCTAACACGCGTGATTCCACGTGGAATTTATAAATAGGATCCATACAACAAAATTAAAGGAAAATTGCTGGAAAATCCCTTCTTCAGCTGTTCCTAAACGGGCAAAGATATAAATTTGATCATATATTATTTTTCAATGAATATTTGATAGCTAAAATTATTAAATAGTACAAAATAAATTAAAAATTTATAAAAATAAAACATTCAGTAGCTTGCTGTTAATTTCAGTTGACGATTATTATGAGAGACCCATAATGATATATGGCATGACACGAGCACAATATATCAACATGATAAAGATATAAATTTAATCATGAATTATTTTTTAAAGCACATTGAGTAGCCTCTATTATATAAAAAAAAGACCATTTGACACTTTCTTTTTAATTTTAACCAAATATTATTTATTTTCATATTTATGATACCCACAAAGCATTAATTTTCTAATCTTCTTATCTTCGTTCTCAATCTCAGTTTGAAAAAAAAAATTCAAATAGTTCTTATCTAAAAATATTCACAAAAACGATGCTAACAAAGTAAAAGAAATAATTCGTGGATCAAATCAAGCTTCTACTTCATTGATATGGTCCATGTGAAATTCTTCGGATAAGAACTCTTTGTGCATCTTTTTTTTTAAATTGATATTCAGAACGGAGGCAAAAAGATTGGAGAGATTAATACTTTGTGAGCCTCGTAAATATAAAAATAAATAATATTTGATCAAAATTGAGGGGAAGGTATTAGATGGTCTTTTTTTTTTAATAATAGAGGCTACTTAGTGTTTTTTTAAAAATAATTTACAACTAAATTTGTATCTTTACCATATTAACATGTCGTGTCCGTGTTGTATCACATGTCATTATGAACTTCACATAACGTCCATCAACTAACGTTAACAGCAGACTTTTAAATATTTTATTTTTAAAAATTCATGATTCATTTTTCAGCATTCCATGATTTTAGTTATTAGATACTTTTTAAAAAATAATATATAATTAAATACTATACCCATCACTAAACTATAAAACTTCCTCTTTCACCACTCTCTCCACTGCTGAGGTGGTTGTCGTTGTCACCGTCGTTTGCCCTGGTCCATGGAAATCCGTCCGCGCATATCCCTGTTTGTTCCTGTGGTTCTTGTTATGTTTAGGAAATTGGTTTTGACTTGGGGGTTGTACGTGATTTGTCGTCACTTATCTTTGTTTTTCCGGCTGAGTTATGGATTGGTTCTGGTCTTCGTGAATTCAAGAAATAGTAGCTATTTATATTTTTTTCATTGACCTTCTAGACTTTTAAATATCAATTATATTTTTATATTTAATTATGTTTTATTTTTTATTTGCGACAGATGAAACTTTGAAAAAATCTACTTAAATTAATATCATTGCAACTTCTAATAAACTAAGCTTCTAATATTATGATTGATTAGAAGAAATCTTTAAGTTCTAGATTGTAATTTAACCTTTTTACTATGTTTGTGATGTAGTATATATTTATTTTAGACTGTGTTGTATTTTAAATTATATTGTGTTTTTAAAATGATTTAGGAGTTTTATTATTATTTAAATAATTAATTATTAAGAAGAAAATATAATTTATTTTATCGCAAAAAAAAAAAAACAATGACAATGAAGTGAATTTCTAACTTTTTTTTAAAATTGAAGGAAAAACATAAAAAATATTTTTTATTTGTGCATTAGCTCGCTAAGCTGCTGCGGTTAGCAAGTTAGTAGAAATACAACATGCTTAAAATGCAAGTAATATTACTTTCCACGGCTAAGCCTGCAACTTGCTACAGACCATATTATTAGCTCTGCTTTTGGGTGAATTATGGATTGGTTGGGTTTAATTTATTATTGACTCAGGTTTGAACTAATGTTTGAGCTCTATTAGTGATTAATCCTAAAATTCTCTGAAGGTTAGTACAATACGCTTGGATAGTCGGTATTAATTAGTCAATTGACATACATGATATATTAAGTACTTATCATGAAAATTTTCATTACTGACTAATATCATAAATTATGAAAATACAGTGAAAAAGAAGAATACATGATATAGGAGTTTTTATGAACAATAACTAATAATATACATGATATATCATGAACAATACAGTGAAAAAGAAGAATGTTCTGGGAAACGAAGAAGGTCAGACAGTAGGAAGAGCCAAAGATTCTTCTCTGCCTCCCATTCTCACCAATGCTTTACCTTTCCATTAAAAGCCCATTTCCTTTCAGCCCAAACATAGCCACTGGCCCATCAGTTCAGTTGACAACTCATAATCCAGTCCAAGTACTTCTTAGGCCTATCCGTTACAGTAAGATGGTTCGATGGTGACTCAGACCTAAGTAAAGGATAACAAGGACACAAACACAAACTGTGCAAATACTGAAAATTGACTTTTAAATAAGTAAAAAATTTAAAAATTAAGTTTTAAATAAGTTAAAATTACTAAGACCAAAACAACTATGTTTCCATTTTATTAACGATTTAAAAATACCTAAACCAATATATATATATATATATATATATAAAAATAATAAAGTTTAGTTCAATTTGGTTCAAGTTTTTAAAATTGAATCGAATCAAATTAATTAATTTTGTCAAAAAAAATATTAAACTGAACTTAATTTATAATTGATTTTGATCAGTTCATCTTAGGTTGATTTGATTTGGCTTGGTATAATTAGTTTGGATTAGTTTTGAATACTATTAAATTATTGAAATAAAAATAATAATCGATGAAACTTTATTGTTTTGTCAAATAACATCTTATGATAACTTTTAAAACCATACATTCTTTTTACATTTATATCCTTATTTAACATAATATCTCAATTAAATTTCTTATTAATAATATCCTAGCATTTATGAAAAAGAAAGGTTTTAATTACATATTGAATTAATGTTAGTTAATTAACAGGATGCTTATATATACTATACCACTTCCCTGAAAGTTCAAGGCATCCAATCGCTCCACTGCAAATACACTTTACTAACTATCATCACCTTCATTTCTGTCATGGACACCCCGAGGAAGCTCGTTGACCAAGTCGGATGTTGGCTCAGACTCTATGACGACGGTTCAGTAGATCGCACCTGGACCGGCCCTCCTAACTTTAAATTACTCACTGAACCGGTTCCTCCTCAGCCTGAATTCCTCAACGGAGTTGCCACCCATGACGTGGTCATCGACGACGTTTCCGGTCAACGTGTCCGGATTTACCTACCGGAGACAAAATCCCACGATAAGCTTCCGATTCTCCTCCATTTTCACGGCGGTGGGTTTTGCATAACCCAAGCCGACTGGTTCATGTACCACCAGTTCTACAGACGGCTCACCCTAACGGCCCGGGTCATTTGCGTATCTGTCTATCTCCGCCTCGCCCCCGAGAACCGACTCCCGGCAGCCATTGATGACGCTTTCTCCGGTCTTACCTGGCTCCAATCGGTGGCAAAGCGCGAGAAGCACCCGCCCGAATGCCTTGTTTCTGCCGACTTCAACCGTATTTTTCTTATCGGTGACAGCACTGGTGGGAACCTAGTTCATGAGGTGGCCGTGCGAGCCGGGAAGCATGACCTGACGCCGCTGAGAGTCGCCGGAGGGATACAGGCGCATCCTGGATTTGTCCGGTCTAGGCGGAGCAAGTCGGAGTTAGAGAATCCCCAGTCGCCGATCTTCTCGTTAGACATGATCGACAAGCTGTTGATCTTGGGGTTGCCGGTTGGCAGCAACAAGGACCACCCGATAACGTGTCCTATGGGGAAGGCGGCGCCGTCGCTGGAGGACGTGGAAGTCCCGCCGCTGCTGGTGTGCGTGGCGGAGAAGGACATGATGGTGGATACGGAGATGGACTACTGTGAAGCGATGAGGAAGGCGAAGAAGGAAGTGGAAGTGTTTGTGAGCAAAGGTATGGGACATTCGTTTTATCTGAACTCAGTTGCGGTGGAGACAGAGGCCGATACGGCGGAGCAAACGGAGTGCCTCATCGGCAAGATCGAAGAGTTCATTGATAGCCACTGAAAAGTGAAAGCCGGTTTCATGACCAGTGGTCGTTGTCTACCACTTTCATCAGGTACTTTTTTCTATTCTTAACTTTTCCCTTTTCAAGATAAGTGGTGTAATAATAAATTTAAAAAATAATGTATGTGATTTTTTTTTTCCTATTGATTTTGACTTTGGCGTTGTGCGTGATTTGTCGTAATTTATCTTAGCTTATCGGGGTGAATTATGAATTGGTTCTGGTCTTTGTGAATTCGAGAAATACTAGCTATTTATATTTTTTCATTCACCTTTTAGACTTTTAAATATTAATTATATTTTTATGGTTAATTATATTTTATTTTTTGTTTGTGACAGATGAAACTTTAAAAAAAATTATTCAAATTAATATTATTATAATTTCTGATAAAGCTTATAACATTATAATTTATTAAAAGAAATCTTTATATTTTGGATTGTAATTTAAACTTTTTAGTATATTTATGATGGAGTATATATTTATTTTGAATTGCATTATGTTTTTTAAATGATTTAAGAGTTTTATTATTATTTGGATAATTAATTTTTAGAAAGAAAATATAATTTTTTATCTCCAAAAAAATGAAAAGAGGTTAATTTTTAATTTTTAAAATTAACAAAAACATAAAAAATATTATTTTATTAATGAGTTAGCCCGTCAACCTACTATGAATTAACGAATTAACAGGTTGACAGAAATATAACCTATCTAAAATGAGATTTATGTGAACTTACCATGCTAAGCTGGCAACTCATTACAAGCCAACTTGCAAGTCACGACCTGACTCATATTAAGAGCTCTATTTGTGAATGAATTATGGATTGGTTAGGTTTAATTTATTACAGACTCAAGATTGAACTAATGTTTTCACCTCTAAAATGGCAGTGATTATTAGTCCTAAAATTCTCCGAAGGTTCCCTGAAAATATTGCATGAAAGTTGTGACCGTACAATACGTGTGGACAGTCGGTATTAAGTACTAACTAGTCAATGACATATATGATATATTGAGTGCGTATCATGAAAATTTTGGTTATCGCTGCCAGCGGAGGGATCGGAACGCCAATGACCAAAGCTCCAGCAAATGGATTGTGTGTGCGTGTTTTAAATTTTTTGTTAGTTAATACATAGGGGTATTTTCGTCCATTCAGCCCTTCATTTTCTGATTATTTTAATGCACTTGATCCTTCAACATGCCTTGGTCATTGAGAATAATTTCTCTTCCACAGAGGAATTTCCTAGCAATTTTTCCTAAAACTAATTATAAATAAATACTTCAAATTTCCAAAAGCATTCTAAAGAGCTGAGTTGACTATTAAATTTCGGAGGGATGTGGTAGTTTCCTTTTATGTGTTATGCAAATTTTCATTTGGAGCAAAACTTGTTAATACTTCCCCTTTAAAAATACAAAGCATTTTTTTAGATAAAATGTTAAAAACTATAAGGCATGTTGGGTCTTTCAAGATGCAATTAATCAAGAAATTCTTTTACGGACCCGATACACTACATCATTCATGATCCATCCTATAAAATTGCACCAATTAAATTAAATAAAATTTTATGTATCATTATTTTAATAACTTTATCACTTTATTTTTATAATAAAATGTCTATTTAATTTTTTGTGTTTTCTCCCTTTATTGTTATTAATGTCAAAATTGATGTATATTTAATGCCATTTAAATATTATATTTTTATTAAATAGACTATGAATGATGTGATGTACAAGGTTTATATAAAAATTTCTCGCAATTAATGAAATTTTTCCAAAAGTGTCTTTAACTAAGGTATCATTAATAAAGTCTTATAACTAAAATACCTATTAAATAGAGTTAAATATAAAAAGAGTGTGCGATTTTAAAGACAAATTGATGTGATTGTGTTAAAAATGATTTATATAATATGGGGGGTATTATGCGAGACAACTAGAAATTAATTATTGAATTTAGGAGGGGCAACTGTCTTTTGTGTGACTTGTGATTTATTTTAGGAAAAAATATAAATTTAAATTTCTATGCTTTGCTCGTATTTTACCATTCGTTCTTACACTTTTTTTTCTTCAATATTTTAGATCTCTCTATAAACAAAGTGTAGGGATTTCAGATGAGACTAAAACAATGAAAAACAAAAATATAGATACTTAAAATATAAAAAAAAATGTAGAGACTAATAACAAAATACGAGTAAAATGCAGAAATTTAAAGTTATATTTTTTTTTATTTTAAGACCAGATTGTTTATATAAAAGGACTAAAGTCCTTGAGACCGATTTTATGCATCTATGATCTTTATTTGTAATAGTTTATTGCATGATCCTCTTTCACAATTTCCCTTAAATCTATTATTTACTAGAATGACGACATGAAATGGCAGGATAGAATTTTTCTATACCAAAGAAAGAAGAAAATTTTTTAATTTAGGAACTGTTTGGATGAAAAGAAATTTTGGAAGAAAATATTTTTTTTTCCCTGTTTTGGAATTTGGATAAGAAAAAAAAAAGTAGGATGAGAAAAAAATTAGGCATATGAGTATGACCCACAACATTTTTCCCCAACCTTTCTCTCCACACGTGAAGAAAGATTTCCAGAGGAAGCATTGTATTCCACACGTTGCCTCCAATGGCCTCATTTAATTTCACAGCAATATAACTAACAATTTGCAATACAAGCAATATAATTCGAAAAATTTCTTACTCTCATTCCATAATTTTAATAATCAAAATAATATTTTGAAAGTGAAAATGCTAATTTATATTAAAAAAAACAAAACCTGTCAAACATATCTTCACTTTTAATAATTTTCTATTCTCATATTCTTTTTCAATTATTTGCAACCCTCAAAACACTAATTTGCAAGTCAGATTTGTTAATTTGTTATAGGAAATCCATGCAAAAATATATTTAATATGTTTTTCTTTACAAATTAATGAATTCACTTTCATGTTCTTTTTGGAGTTGTAAATCAAGAAATGAGAGTAGCGAACTTTTAAACCAATTTACTAGTAAAAGATATTTGGTCCTCATTCTAGATTTTCTTGATCTTTTGATCCTTATTTAAGTTAAATTTAATCTTTTTGATCCTTTAATATCGCTCTCCTTTAAAATTATATAATTTGTTCATATTGAAAATAATGAAGCAAAAATGTACTGAATCATTTTTCATAACATCAAATTTCCTATACTAATTTTGAAAATAAATTGTTTGCACGAAAAGTTAGAGAACCCATCACAAAGGATAAGAATGATACTCCCTTTGATCCTTGTTATAAAACAAATCTAACCATATCACTAGAGTAAGGGAGGAGTGGTTAATTTATTAATTTGTTTGAAAAAAAAATAAACTTCTAATTTCACTCATATTCAAATGCAAAAAATTTCAAATCTACATTAGATTTTCTATCATAATTAATGAGTTCAAATAGAAGTAATATTGAAAAAATATATTCTCTTCGTTCAAAAATGTAAGGCATTTTTTAAAGAGTTTGATGTTAAAAAATATAAGGCATTTTTAATCTTTTGAGGTATAATCATTGCCTTTTTTTTTAAAAAAAAGCATCCCCATTGATAATAACTTTATATTTATTGTAGGATGTTTAATAAGAGTAAATATAAAAAGATAAGGTTAGTTAAAAAGTAAGTAACTACTTTATTGAGGGTGAGTTTCAGTTTAAAATACTTTATATTTTTTAACGGAAATAGTAACTAATATATTACCAAGTGTCTTATATTAAGGACTATCAATTTCTTCTATAAGGAGTCTTATGACAAGGACCAAAGGAATATTTCTAATCTCTCACATGAAAAACGAGAGGATTTGCTTCCTTGCCAATATTGAGAATTATTATTATTATTATTATTATTATTATTATTTATTTCAGATACAAAACATATATAAAAGCAGTACAAATTATTATATACTAAGCAGCAAAATTAGTAATTATTAAAATTAAGGTGATCTTCTGCTGAAGAAGAAGGAGGCGGCTCACAGCAAACACACGAACCGCCGTTGCACTTGTGGACTGAACCCGGTTCAGGACATGGTCTCACAGCACAGAATGGGATGCAATCATTATCCTTCACACATCCACTTGCCTCTTCTTCGCTCCAATATTGTGCTTTTATTTTTGGAACAACTACTATGCACAAATATACATGCAAGAAAATTAATTTGGATTAAATAGCCGACAATACAAAGTTTTAAGATTAAGTCAATATATACTACATAAATGATGATGAAAATAATTTTCTTCATAGTTGAATCGGTTATCAAACTAATCAAAGACATCAGTTAACTTGATAGTGTAGTTGAGACGTGGTTAAATTGATAATAATTACATTATTATGCTTCTAATCATACGTTAACAATCTTAGTTCTTGGGTAAAATATGATAATTAAAATTGTAAGTCTCAAAATACTAATTTAAGAATAATAAAAGGTGACTTGCAAGGTATCAATTTAGACAAATAAAAATATGAAAATCTCAATTATAAATTAGGTATTTAATTCTCTACGATCCTTAAAATAATTTGCAACTGAAAATTTCAAATTTATGACCATCAAAGTTAATATTTATAATTCATCTTTTAAAAAAAAATTTGAGACTCAACTATCATTAAGCTTAACATTTAGGACCTAGTTGTCATTTACCCTAAGATTAAGGTGAAAAAATAATGAAATTAAAATAGTTTCAATATTTATATTTTCTTTTTCAATCATCTTCTCTCACACCCAACTCTTTCTTTTTGGTTTTGATAAAAGGAAAAATATACTAATACATCACAAATAGGCTAACTGCTCTTTTAGTATTTTAACTTTTTTACTTTTAATTTTATAAAATATTTTTTTAATCTTTTAATCCTAAAACCATTAATTTTATTGCAAAGAATTCCTACACTTAACTTTTAAATATTGACAAAATGTTGTCACATTTTGACATATTAAATTTATTTTGTTTAAAACAAAAATGATTGACCTCCACTCTATGAAATTATTATTATCAAATATGGCCTCACAGGCATTTCAGAAATATCTTTGATATATTTATTTAATCTCAAGACACTTTAAAAATCTTAGGATAAAATAATTTAATTTTCTTGATCAATTGAACCAAACGTTAGGTAAAAGTATACAAAATCCACAATGCTATTTAAAATTCAACTCCCTTGCAAAATCTCTTCTTTTTTAATATAGAAACAGAGAATATATTTTGAAATCAATCAAATATGTAGTATAAAATTTATA